TAGTTTTACAGGAGACAGCCCAGTTGTCCGTAGCAACCTGAAATTGATTTCCCCCCATGCCTACTGAAAGCTGTTCCTTCTTGAATCATCCCTTTAATTTAATACAGTGAACAGGATGTCCCTGCATGCGGAAACTTTTTTTTTTAACAACAAGTAACCTAGGCAAAAAAAAAATTCTTATTTGAGCAACAGCCCTGACTCCGTCTTTATTACCACTTGGCATTAGTCCTTTCCATGCCATTTCCTTGTGCTTTGTTTCAGATACTAGAGACCATTATCAGTATTGGCTAATCACCGCTGCCGCCGCAGGGAGGCCTCCCCCTGCACGCTCTGGCCACCTCAGCCACCTTGTCTGCTCGGCAGCAGGTCCCTCCTTGGCATGAAACCCTTCAGGCTGCCCTGCCCTCCCCAGCCTCTGCTGTGTGGGTTGGCCTGGTGTGTGCGGTCGTGCTGAAAAATATATTCTTTGTGGTCTGCGTAGCATCAGTCCTGTGCTTTCCCCTTATGGGCAACGGTGCCCGTGTGTGGCTCTGGCGATGGCGTGCGTCGGAGTGGGGTGAGTGCTCCTTGCAACGGCGATGCACTTGCACGGCTTTTCATCCTGACTTGAGGAGAAGGGATGAGGCATGCTGCTGTTCAGGGCAATGACATCATCGCTAAGTGTCCTCTCCACCTTCTACTAATTAGGGTGCTTAGGGCCAGGAGCTGCTGGTGGCTCTGCTGCAGAGACCCAGTGAGAGAGAGGTGGCTGCCTTTGATGGTGCTGTAGGTGCGTATAGCCTGGGGCCTATACAGACCTGGGGATAACCACATTCTCCGTGTTGACCTTGCTGAATATTTTAAACTCAAAAAGCATTATAATACTGCTGCTTACAATCTTCTCTGACTTGTACCAGTTTGGCTCTGGTTTCCCATGCTAGGTCTCTGCTGGGATGGTTCCCAGGGTCAATGAGTGCTGTTGGCTCCTGTGGGACTGTAGACCTGGATGAGACTGGAGACCTAAGTCTGAGATGGACAAAGTGAGGTGTGTGAATCCTGGACTTATAACTATCCTGCACAGAGTGATTAACAGCATGCATGGAGATATGAAGAGAGAAGCTACTGCCCATGCATAGAAGATGATCTTCAGCCTGAAATATCAAATTATTAGGCAGTTGTGGATTAGATATTTGTAACAGGCTGTCAAAGATCTCGTCTGAGCACAGCTTGAGGACGGGTATTTTTAGGCCTGTTGTGAAAGAGATGTCCCTGCCCACAGCAGGGGGGTTGGACTAGATGACCTTTAAAGGTCCCTTCCAACCCAAACTATTCTGATTCTAAGATAACCGGGAAAGGCTGAAGCTACCAAGTAAAATTCTGAAAGATTCCTCAGGCCCTTGATGCCAGACAATGTGGTGATGCAGGGGGGTTGGACTAGATGACCTTTAAAGGTCCCTTCCAACCCAAACTATTCTATGATTCTACGCTTCTGTCAAAACCTCTTTTTGCAGGTCTTTCTAGCTAAAGCAGTGGAGCTGCTTCAGAGGAGGCTGGTTGGAAGGTGTTTGGGAAGAATGGGAAGAACTGCAGTACTGTTTTGCTCCTATTTATAAAAGAAATCTGTGTCCTTGCTGTCTCTGTGGTGCCTGAGGATGCCAAAGAAGTGACTTGCCTTGTCAGAGGAGTGCCAGGGATGAAGGATTTAGGGCATTTGTGGTTTTGCTATCTGGAAGAGCATTTGACTACATTTTGGAAGAGCGACAGCTTGCACATGGTCAGCAGAGACGGCAACCTTTTTCCACAGTTGCTTGCCCCTGGTTTTTGCACACCATTGCAAGACAGCACAGACTTTCTCCTGTGCTCTTAGCTCTTGCCCTGCTCGTTATGAAGCTGTGTGTTGGAGGAGGTGTTGCTGGGCTGGGGCAAGGTGTGCTGTGGTAGCAGTTGTCCCACCAGAACTTGTCCCTGTTGATTATTCCACATGAAGAGAAGTGAGCTGCTGCTTGCATCTACGCTTAGGCCATTAGCACAAATTGCACCGATCTGTGCTGTGAAATGTCTGCCTTCTTCTGGCTTGTTTTCTGAAAAGGGAAAAAAAAAACCAGTGCACGAAATCAATATGGCAGAGCCTTTGGTTGTGTGTTCACCTGCTGTCACTTGGAGAGGAAACCATGTCACTCAACATGCCTGGTGTACAGCACTTGTTGAGAAGATAGTTATTTAATCTTACTGTTTTTTTCACATCAGTTAAAAAATTGGTTTATTTAATGTGCATCTTGTGAACATTTCACTGAATAAGCTACCCAAAAAGGTTAATCTCCAGTTCTGTACTGCTTTTACTGTCACATCCAACTGCTTCAAAGACAGTAATGAGTGTATCTCTAATGATGATTTTCAGATGCAGAGGTAGCAGAGGCATCTACTATTTTCAGGTGCCAAAACTGAGACTTACAAGGCCTGTTTTTTCAGAACACTTCATGTTTTGTAGCGCTGTACATGGTTATAGTACAAGTCTCAATTAGAGATTGAACAGAGAATCTCGGTCCATGATTGCTATTTCTTGTCTCTTCTGGACGTGGTCTTTCTGTGTCTTTAGTTAGCCAGAAAAGGCACAGCAATAAATATCTGGGAAAAATTTGATATATGTTACTTTCCTCTTGTCGTTCAGGAGGTTTATGGCAGAGGCATAAACAGGATCTAATCTTTCAAAGTGACACTCAGCTGCCAGACCACGAAGCATCCTTTCTGGTCTCCTTACCATTGCCTGCCTGGCATGCTCCCTATCTTCCAAAAACTGAATGAAGGTGAGGAGGCCACTGTCCTACATGGTTGCAACCTCATTTTCCACGTGACCTGGCTTTCATACACCACTAGCAAGTTGCTCCAGGTCTCAATGAGTTTCTATGTGTCCCTGTTTGCATTCCTCCCTTCAGCAGGAGCACTGCCTGCCTGAGAGCTGGGTTTAGAGCTAGGTACGACCTGGCTGGGGTACGCAGAAGTTCCTTGACTGTTGTCTGTAACTTCTGACAGCGGGATATTTGTAAATTTAAACGCTTCCTCCCAGAAGTATCAAAGGAACTAAGGCCACTTTTCAGTATGAACATGAAAGGCTTTCACGCACTAGTGCAGCAAGGATTGCCATGGAGAACAAAGGCTTCTGCTAATCGCTTCTAATGCCTTTCAAGTTTATGCCTCATTTTTTCCCCTTTTTCAGACAGCCTCCCAGAGTACCGAGACTTCAGTGACTGACTCACCAAATAATTAACAGGAGGAGGACTCCATCTCTGAAACTTTTGAACACCTCTTTTAATTTTCTTAAACCAGCCAGTACCCTGGCCAGGTTCCAGTTCATGTAATTACATTTGACCTAACTTAATCCCTTGGCAGTTTCAATTGCATGTGGTAGTCTTCTTGGCTCCCTGTCCTGGGCTGCCATTCAATGCTACTTCATGGTTTTCAACAGCTGTTGTAATTCAACCATAGAAATGGGTGTATTTTATTGGTGGAAGCACTCCTTGTATCTCTGTCCCTTGCTAAACATCCTTATCTCACTAGTATTTTGAGGGAGGCAACGTGTCTGATGCTGCAGATGATCTTGTTGAAGTCCTTGGAGCTACTTGCACCCTTCAAGATAGGCATGTATTTAAACTCTTCTGTTAGTTGGCCATCATACATTTTGAGATTACTTTTGAGTTCTTCATCTTCAGTGAAAGGCATTTATTGCTCAGTCTCCTCAGCTACTGTATGCTGCTGTAGGGACATTATTGGTGCAGGTATTCCTCTTTAGCCTTGGAAACGGCACTTCTGTTATCAAATCTGTGCTAAATAGGAGTGTGTCACCTTCCTGTGCTGACAGCAGTTGTGCTGGCTGTAAGCGTTTGCATTGGTAAGAGTGGAAATGATCAAGGAAAGCAAAAGCCCAGGGCAGCTGAGAAGGATTGCAATGAAAAAAAAAAATCCCAAGTGGAAACTGGGAGATAGACAAAGTGCAGTAGCAAAAGGGATAGTCAGATGGATGGTACATGCAAGAGGGAAGACACTGAATTGTTGCATTGGCACATTTTTAGATGTGCAACAGGCATCTTGTTTTCACAGCAGATGGCAAATTGAGTGTTTCTTGGCTTCAGCCCTTGGAAAAGGCATATTTGTTACAAAGCCACTTGATCCTTTGGGGCTAGCAGCAGCCCCTGTTAAGGGTAGACAGGAATTTAGACGAGATGGGGTGCAAAAGGTGAAAGATGCTGTTGTGGCAAATTGTCTGCTACCGTCTAGCTCTGTTTTTCTGAGAGACTCCAAAAGTAGGATGGCAAATGTATTATTGCTGCTCTCCTTTGTTGCTTGCTCTCTCTCATGAAATTTGGGATGTTTTTGTTATTCAGAGCTCTCCCCTGTGTTTCCAAACACTGCTCATGTAAATCTCTTCTTTATTGTTTCCTCGTTGTCACCAAACCCTTGGGTTCAGGAGGAAGATTATTTTTTGCTAGATAGAACATCCTGAAGTTTGGGAGGTAAGGACTATGTTGTGAACATATAAGTTACTTGATCTTTTATCAGACCTGACTTTTCTCCTCTGGGTCTATCCCATAATTACACACACTCAAATCTCAGAGTAGGCTAGATGTCTTGCCCTTGTTGGCTTCAGTGACACTGTAAATAACATCACCGGTGGCAACATAAAGATTTGTCCTCTGTCACAGTTAATAAAGCTTTGGAGTCGTAGCCATCTGATTTTGATGTGCGCTGGGTATTGCTTATAGCTTGGCAGAACTTTCTGAAAAGACAGTGAGCACTTTGTTTCCTAGAACACAGATTTATCAAACCCTTATGGTGGTTGTCAGAGAAAATGTGGCCAAGTTTGAGTGGCGGCACACGATGTATCTGCAGTCATTGATGTTGCTTTTGAAGATCTGTTTGAATGTTAAGTAATGGGGTGGAAGAAATTGCACTTCAGAGTTGTTGGTTTTTCCTTACTACTGGACCCTCTGCCTACCACCCTAAAGACAAATCTTTTCTTGTTTCAGAATACTTTATAACTGGGTGTGCCTGAATGCATCAGCCTTTGGATGTGAGCGTCTTCTCTTGAAACAGCCTTGTGATATCCTAGCTGCCTGTTCTCTTGGGGTAAGAAAAGAAATACACATGCAGAGGCACAAGATTAAGAACGTGCTTTGAGCAGAAGCAGAATGGCAGAGAGAGGGCAAGCCACACTGGTGCCTCAGCTTGTAAATTTTGGAAATGGTGAACTTGTTGTAGAGAGAGGGAATAAACTGTAAATCTGTCCACTGTAAATAAAACAAATTACGAGCTTAAGTTGCAGCAAGAGAAGTTTAGATGAGACATTAGTAAATGATCTCCTGCATTAAGAGTAGGTGGGTGCTGGGGTAGATTGCCCAAGGAGCTTAGGAAGTTTCAGTCATTAGGTTTAAGAGCAAGCTAGCAAAGCTCCATCAGATGTGCTTTTAGGAGAACTGATCCTTCCATGTGGTGGAAAAGTGGACTAGATGACTTCTGGAGAGTCCTCCTAACCTGTTGATGGTTAGAAATTGGGGAATGTGAAATCCTTATCTTAACCTTATTCAAAACTGATAAAGTAAAAGGCAAAGCTCAGTGTATCTGTGCAGAAGGAGCTGCCTGATTTGATGATGAGCTTTGATGCAACAGCAGTTAACTCAGGTGGTCAGTGTTTTTGCTACCTGAATGGTGATGTTCTTCTAGAGGGAAGTGTAAGCTCATGGAAAAGGAGTTCAGTCCTTGGCATGTAATGTAAACTTGTGATAAAAACAGGAGGTTGTATCAGTTCTGTTTCCTTTGTAGCAAGTTCCTGGGAGTTTGGGTCTCTTCTGTGATCCATGTAAGGGCTTTACTCTTACTCTCAGGTGGGTAATCTCATCTATTGTATTGTGACATAAGAACACAATGCCACAGATACAGGTATACTGAGCAAAATACGAGTATCATGTGGAACACATAGACAGGAACCAAATGATTACTTTTCCTCTTTGTTTCCAGGGGCTGATGAGATGGTGGAAAGTTTCATTTTTCTTTTCTTGTTCTTCTGTTCCTCTTCTCCGTTGTGTCTCATTGTCCTGTCTTGACAACGAACGCAGCAGGCTTTTTATGTGTTTAAAAATGCTATCTCACCAGCTGGGTCTTGAAATTATGTCCTGAAGATGGCTGCTCATTTAATTCCCTTGCTTCTCCCTTGGGGAGCTGCAAATGACAAACCTAGCCTGGGCTCAGGCAGCCTCTGAGTCATCATCATGAGAGGAACGGGCTTCGGGTGCCTCATCTTCCTTGGTCCGATTAAGGATAGTGAGATACCTGTCCTGTGTCTTAGGACTCCTGAAATTCAATGGGAAATTCTTCAACCTCCTGTTGGACTTTGGGATTCATTTGGTTTCTCTAATATTTACCTTTCGTCCTGAATGTCAGCAAATACTGGTGTCTCCCCTGGAGTTATACTAGTGTCTTACTGTTCGTTATCATCTTCTGCTTAGCAGAGATAAGCTGTTGTGTCCCAGGGGTATAGAAACATGGAAGAAACTTTCAAATAGCTCTAAGAAATGCAGATGATGTCAAGAGAGAAATAAGGGGATGCCTTTCTGAAGTCACCTTTGTACATGTTTTTTTCTTTTTCTTTTTTTTTCCTCTTGAGCTTTTCAATTCCTGCAACTATCTGCTCAAATCTTGAAAGCAAAATGCGTTCATAGAAAGATACAATTTACTGTGTGCCCCCTGATCTTTTGATCTCAATCAATCAAATAAATCTAAGACCTTGCAGTTCACCTTGTTGCAAGGACAGTTAATAAGTTGAGGGGTTGTGCCAATGGCAGTGATGGTTTTACAGCCTTCTGCTTTTTTGTTGTTGTTGTTGTTTTTTTTTTTTTTATTCTGACCTTTTGGACTGGTCAGGGTAAGATTATTTGCAAAGAATACTCCATAAATATGACTGTCAGGACCGGAGTTAACATTCAAGCGTTGCTGCTTAGCAAAAGAAAACAATATGCCAGAGTTCAATTTAGATTTCCCTGCAGGGTTGAAAATAATGACAAGACTCACTTAACATGGCAGAGATGAGTCCTGCCACCTCTATGGGAGTGGTTGCCTTACAGTCCTGCAGCACATTGTAGCTATGTGCCTGGTTAACTTGCTGGCTGTGCCTGAAAATTTGGCGTCTGGTGTCTCATGCTGGGGCTAACTTGGGGCAGAGGAACCCTGAGGTGCGTCTCCCAGCTCTCCGAGGTGCAAGCTCAGTCGACTATGTAGTTTTCTTTGATTTTGCAACTGCAAATTCCTTTTTTTCTAATGCTGTGCTCCTTGCTTACACCTGCAAATGAGGTTTTTGTGGAGCTGCTCTAAGCTCTGTGTCCTGCAAAACAATCCTGTTTCCATCCTTTCACTCCATCCTTTCAGTCCGAGTGCAAGCTGGTGTGCATTGCAAGCGTTGCTCCAGAAAGTCCCTGGTGTGTTGTGAGTAGCGCCTTGTGGGTTGCTCATTGTGATCTTTGTGCGCTTTGGGAATCGCAGGTTTTGGTGCACAGCTGGTGGGGTTTTTCCTGCTGTGACTATTAATCGAAACAGTTCCTAGACGTCTCCCACCTAACGTTTGCCACCGAGGAGGCTTGCAGCGTCCAGCAGCAAGAATCTTGCTTGTCTGTCAGAAAGTATAATGGTGATTATCGATGTTTCTGTGGTCTTGTCAGCAGAATTGACTTCTGTGGGTGAGAGCAGCATGAGTGAAGCTGGGAGCCAGCAGCTGCTATTTAAGCATTAACCTGCAGTGTTTGAAAACCACATCAGTCTGCTGTGTAGAAATGGTCTCTCTACAGAGCTTGGTCATGGATGTAAATATAGTTTGTCAGAAGCATGTGGCTCTTCTGAGGTTATTTTTTCCTTCTTTCATAGATGAGAAAGTGAAGGTGTTGAAGACCTCTTGCTTTACCCACAGGAAAGCGCACGGCAGCGGAGCCCCAAGGTTGGGTCTGAGACCCATAGGTTTGGCCAAAAAAAAAAAAAAAAGCTACATGTGGTGAAAGGCAGCTTGTTCCCTGAAAAAATTATGCCATCAATTGAGAAATCAGTCTTGGACTGGGTGGTGAAATAACGGTGCAAAATGCAATGCGACTTGTGGAGAGTCATGTGGCACCTCAGTGACAAATCCCCTGCAACAGCCCGGTGGCTCTGGGTCCAACTCTGCAACGCCGTAACTTGCAGTGAAACAGATGGGCCTGGTTCCTTGTCAGCATAGGCTGAAAAGTTTAAAAACAAAATAAACAAATAAATTAGTGTTTAGTCCCATCTTAAAATCCAAAAGCTGTTTCTCCAGCACCTGTAAATAACTTAACCCCTTGCTGGATTTACCTGCCTTGCACACAAAACTAGAGATATTGGGGGAAAATAGATGACCGAGTGTGGCAGAGCAGTGCCTTTGCTGTGTGCTGCTGCACCCTCCCAAGCCCAGCGTCCTTGCCATGAGTTGGGGAGAGGTGTCCCAGTCCCCGCGGATAGCTGCCATCCTCAAGGTGCCAAGGGGAAGAGCCCTGCAGTACGTGGGAGTTTTGCGTGGCCCAGACACTGACACTCTTTTTTCTTATTCCAAGAGGGACTGGCAATTAGCAGCAGAGGTAATAGCCACCTTGAATTAAATCATATGGAGGCATGAGAAATAGCAGGGTATATTTGGAAGTATCTATTGCATATATATATTCCTCTTAAGAAACATGTTGGGGATGCCATTTCCATAAATACTAATAAGGCTGTTTGATTCCAATTTTCAGGTAAGATTAACATTTTATTGAGTATTATATCTGTCACATTCAATGCTTTAGTGTACCATCCTCTCAGGCTCATTAGCATAATTGCAGTGCTTAAGCAACAATAAAAAATTCAACAGTAAAATAGCAGTTAGCACAGGCAATTTGTTATCAAAAGCTTTTACTTAAGGACAGCTTTTGAGCATATTTATTATCAAGTTAGGGCTATATATTATTTTTATTTAGAAAAACAAAAGGGAAACATCGTAGGATTTTTTTCTTTTTTTAATGGCTAAATCAGAAGGCCTGAAAATTGGTCACAGCCTTTTTCTCTGTTTCTTAAAATTGCCCAGCAAATTCGCTTGGGGTGGGAAGACGAGATAACGAAACAAACCCAGGTCTGGAGCAGGGTTGCGATGTTAATAACTCAGCAGAACAGTATCAGTAAATCCTGATGCTGTCTCGAGCACCCCTTTTAAAATCCCCTCACCACGTCCCAGGCTCTGAAGACACCATCCTCCCCCTCTGTAACCAATGGCACTGTCATCAGAGCAGTGCAAAGACAGGGGTGGCCCAGCCTTGCGCCCCGACGGTGCCTGCAGACGGGGGGAGAGAGCGGAGAGGACCTGTGGGAAGATGGGACTTTGCTGTTGGTGCTGGTTGTCTTTGAGGTTGGAGCGGCGGAGTACAGTGTGGCTGTGTGACAGCACTGCACGCTCCCCCTGTTTCTGTTCTCCCTTTGAGGACACGTAGGGGAACAGTCCTTTTCCAGAAGATCTGTAGCGGAGGTACGAATGTGCATGTGTTTGTGCGCATGCACCTGCTTGTGCACATACACGCACGTGTGCACATACACGCAGAAAATCCCTGTTGACAGCACGGCAAGATTTCATGTGTGTATTTTAATTTTCGACAAAAGGCATTTTGGGGGCAAATTTTCTATGTGCATGTAAAATATAGAATTGTACCTCATAAATAAAGAAGTGAGTTTTAAACAACACAAGAAGTCCTCAAAAGATGTCCATCAAGAAAAGCACAAGCATTTGGCAAGAGGAAGACCATTGCTGTGATTGCTCATGGGTAAATGCAGACCTGAATCTTTTGCAGTCCTCTGAGGTGGCAGCTGACAGGGACATGCAACATGTCATATTTATTCGAGTGAAATGTGCCCCCTTTTCTGTATGATTCCTTTGTGGGTGGAGGGTGTTTTCGGAACCCTCTTTGCGGGAGTTGGCTCCTCCACACCCTTCAGCTTCTGCTTGACTTCTTCAGATTGTCATCGTCTGTTGTCCTTGTTGTTCCTCAGACCTCTGTTCACCTCCAGCATCCCTGTTCTCCTCCCTATCACTGAACCTTGGGATCTTTTTC